CCAAAACATATCAACTTTCTTTCTTTCTAGTTTTAAAAAACCTACATCTTTGACCCAACTCAACTCACGAACACTTCTAGCGAATACATATCAACTTCTTTCTGGGTCTAGAAAACCTACTACTCTGACCCAACTTAACCCATGAACACTCTAGTGAAAAGATATCAACTTTCTTTTTAGGTCTAAAAAACTTATAACCCTAACCCAACTCAACCCACGAACCCTTCTAACGAAAAGATATCAACTTTCTTTCTTTCTCGGTCTAAAAAACTACAACTTTCCAAATCTATCTCATTTCTATATACTTTTTTTTTTTGAATAATGGGTTTTGTTTTGATTTAGGGTGGAGAGTTTCATAGAGCATCAAGATAGTTGCAAATTGGGTCATCATCAACAACCAGAAAAGGAGGCATCTTTACAACCACCACCACCACCACCACCTTGTTTATCAAGAACAGCTTCAAGCCCAACTCCAACTCCTTCTTCAGATACAAATTTCAGCTTCTTAAACCAAACCCACACACCAAAAACTCCCCAAAAACTCATCACCCATCATCAAAATTTGGACCTTCAACTTTCAACCTCTTCAAATTCCATTAAAGTTTCAGTTTCTCCAAAAAAACATGAAAATTACGCAACCCATTTGCAGCTTTCAATTGGGTCTTGCAATTATGGTGAAAAAAATGAACAAAAAGATCATTATCAAATGAATTTTGATGAACAAATTGGAAATGGGTTGAGTTTATTGAAGCTGAAAGAAGAAGCTAAACAGAGAATGAGAGTGGCAAGGGAAGAGAAGGCAGTGGCTGAAGAAGCAAGAAATGAAGCAAAGAAACAGATTGAATTGGCTGAGAAGGAGTTAGCCAATGCCAAGAGAATGAGACAACAAGCTCAAGCTGAGCTACAAAGAGCTCTTGCTTTGAAAGAACACGCCATCAACAAAATCAACTCCACCATCCTTCAAATCACTTGCCAAGTTTGTAGGCAACATTTTCATCCATTGCACAAAACTTGAATGTTTGCTTACCCTTCTCGCCTTTTTAATCAAACAAATTACTATTCGTTTTTTACCTCTCGATGGTAAATCAATCTGCACGGTGTTCATAGGTTCAGTTGAAAAAAAATCTTTTCGGTCAACTCAAATTTTCAGATGGGGTGAATTGGTCGCCTGAATAATCTACGTCACAATACATCACTAATATCAATTATAATAAAGTTGACCTAACAAAAAAAAAAAAAGATGGACCCAATTCAACTTAATTTTAATCGAATTCTTGAGTCATATAAATCATTGATGGAAAGTTTGGATTTGGGAGATGAAGTGATGGGAAGAAATGATGTCTGTTGAGAGCATTAAAGAAGGGTACAGAGCAGAATTAAAAACAAATAGAGAGAGAGAAAAGAAAAAGGGAAAGTAAGAAAGGACTATTCTGAAATCTGAAAATCTGCAAAATCTGAATATTATGAGGGGTTGGTTTGCAAATAAATAGAAATGGAAAAGGTACCATGTTTTTCAGTGCCACTAAGAGGATGGGGCCAACAAGAGTTAATCATAGACTCAGTGGTCATTCTCAGGGCTCTCACAAACATACAGTCCCAACCCCTGTCCCTTTATATCCCTTTCAACCTCTACACATTTACTGTCATATCAGTCTCATCATCTTTTTTTGTTTCTTCTTCTTCTTCTTCTTCTTCTGTTCTTCAAGTTTTTAGAGCCACTTGTTCAAATATGCTTCTTGGCTCACTACATTTTGGGATTCTAAGTGAATTCCAACTTTCTTTTCGATTATGTTTATGTGAGATCCCACATCGATTGGAGAGAGGAATATGTGTCCGCAAGGATGTTAGACCCCGAAAGGGGTTGGTTATTGTGAAAGCCTAAAAAAGACAATATCTACTAACGGTGGGTTTGAACTCGAAAAGACACTATCATTATGAAAGATTCAATCAAGCTTAGAGAAACGATTTGAGATGTGTCATGGTCATACTTATCCAAAGTGTGTTATCTATAGTCGTATGTGAGATGTCATAGTCATCCTTTTCTAGAGCATGTTGTTTGTGGATGTATGCTTGTTCCATACCCATTTTACTTGCTTTCATGTTAGTTAAGTTTTTATTATCTCTGCAATGTCATTTGAGAGTATATGATTATTTGCCAAAATCATGTCGGGCTAAAATGTCTCAAAATGTACCGCAAGGAGAATATGATTAGGTGTCAATTCTCCCTATCTTGCTTATACGTTATCATACCTATTATTGTGCGTATTTTCTTTCTTAAAATCGATTTTCAAACATTTTCTAAAACTTTCTCTTTCCCCATTTTCTAAAACATTTTTTTTCAAAAACGAGGCTGGAAGCTTGTGTATACATCACCCGTGCCAGCAATAAGTAGTATGATGAAAAGATAAAATATAAAACTAATCAATAAATAACTTATTTATAGACTCTTCATCATTCTTTATATAATCTTATTTGTCACACGTCTGAGCTTATCATACGATTCTTATAAACTAGTTTATCAGAGTTCATCGTTTTTCATAATTAGTTCCTCTAAGCTCATTTCAATAATGGGTTCTTGTCATATAAGCTCATCTGAGCTTTATCTCTTACAAAAGTACACCCGAGAACCTTGCTTAATCTAGTCAATTGTTTACTATTCCTAGCAATTATTTCAAATAATTTCAACTCATAGTACATACATGGATATTGTCAATATGGATAGATTCTAAGGACTCTCTAATGAGCCCGATATAGGAGTGGCTCTTGTGCCTACCAGTTACTAGGATACCGATGTTGACCTTTGCCCTTATTCAGAAGTTCACGAGTCGCCAATAATAATATCTCGAGCTTAGAAATTCAAATATGCCTTTTTTAAATTTACTTTTTGGTTTATTTTACAGAATGAGTGAGTTTATTCGAATCCTACTTCCAAGCATTAAAAAAGAACAAAAAGAGGAAAAAGAAAGGGGTGAGAGAAGTGGGGAATCCAAGGAGGGCTTCCATCCTGAAACAAAAAGCAATAAGATTTAACCAATTATGCAAAAGAAAAAGACAGCACAAAACCAGACATAAAACACTTATTCACATCACTAACCAATCTCAGATGAAACACTCAAACAAGACAGCCTTCCAGCTTGCAAATCCAACAGGAATATGTCTGCAAATTGATGCCCACTACTAGTAAACTAAGGTATAAAAGGATTGAAAGGAAAAACATTAATGTAACAATCCAAGCCCTTGTCTGTTTTAGTCTGTATCGTATCGCTATTAGGCTCACGATTTTAAAACGCGTCTGCTAAGGAGAAGTTTTCACACCCTTATAAGAAATGGTTCATTTTTCTTTCCAACTGATATGAGATCTCACAATCTACCTCCCTTAGAGGCTCATCGTCCTCATTGACACACCACTCAATGTTTAGCTATGATACCATTTGTAACAATCAAAGCTCACCGCTAGTAAATATTGTCTGTTTTAGTCCGTAACGTATCATCATTAGACTCACGATTTTAAAACGCATCTGCTAGGGAGAGGTTTTCACACCCTTATAAGGAATGTTTCGTTTCCCTCTCCAATCGATATAGGATCTTACAATTCACCCCCTTGGGAACTTAGTATCCTTGCTGGTACACCACTCAGTGTCTGACTCTAATATCATATTGTCTATTTTTGCTCATAATGCATGACCGTTAGACTCACGGTTTTAAACAGATGCTTGATGCAGTTATTGCTACTGTTTGAGATCTTCAGCTTCTGGTTTAAGCTGCTTGCTCAGTTGTTTTTGAATTTATTCTTTATTAAGTTAAGGGGGAAGCTTACTTTTGTGCACTTTGGACTACTAGTAAGTGGCTCTCATCCATTAAGGAAAAAGGTTCTCTTCATGGTAACTGATTATGAACTTTTGTGGGTTCGTGGGAGAGATTCAAACTTTTGAATCAATGGTCAACTCGATTGCCTTTGGCCCAATAGAAAAGCTAGTGACTAGTTTTGCTATGGAGCTACGTGCTCTATTAGCACGTTGACACTCTCTAGAAAGTGAGATCATTATTGACTTGAAGAAGAGGAAAAGAACACTCTTAAATGTAGCCTTTCTCTTATATACGATATCAACCGATGCATCTTAGTAATTTCATGTGTAGATCAACGCTATTGAAAGTGTGAGATCCTACGTCGATTTGGGAGAAGAACGAGTGTCAGCGAGCATGCTAGACTCTGAAGGAGGTGGATTGTGAGATCCCACATAGCGCTATTGGAGAGAGGAACGTGTGTACGTTGAGCCCGAAGGCCTGAGGGGGTGGATTGTGAAATCCCACGTCGGTTGGAGAAGGAAACGAAACATTCTTTATAAGAGTGTGGAACCTCTCCCTAGCATACGAGTTTTAAAAACTTTGAGGGGAAGCCTCAAAAGGAAAGTCCAAAGAGGACAATATCGGTTAGCGGTGGGCTTGGGCTATTACAAATGGTATCAGAGCCAGATACCATGCAGTGTGCCAACGGGAATGTTGAGTCCCGAAGGGGGGTGGACATCAGGCGGTGTGCCAGCGAGGACGCTGGGTTCTAAAAGGGGCAGATTATGAGATCCCACATCGATTGGAGAAAGGAACGAAGCATTTTTTATAAGGGTGTGAAAATCTCTCCCTAACAAATGCGTTTTAAAAACCTTAAGGTTAAGTCCAAAGAGGACAATATCTGCCAGCGATGAGCTTAGGCTATTACAGAAACCGCCCAGACTCTACAACAAAGCAAAGGATTGAGTCGTACGAAACCCATCCGCAACAAGATCACAGTAATAAAAGCAGTAATTCATAGAAGAATCATTAAAGCAACAAACAAGATATACTGCATTTTGGGTAACTAATATAGAAAGAAAGCATTGGATGGTAGAACACCTGGCCATCACCATTCAACCATTGTCCTTTGATTCTGTAATAAGGCTGAACATTCCCTTCTATACAGGGCAAGACATCAGCAATTTAAACCAAAACAAAACTCAATTCTCATTTGCTTCTCATTTTTGTAATGCCCTATGCTCACATGGGTTGCTCGTATTCGAATTCGATATCTAATGATTCTGGCATAAGGCGTTATGAATGGTATTAGAAAACAATCTCTATCATTAGAATGTGGTTCGGGCAAACCAAACGAAAGCTAGTGAGCATGAAACGTCTAAATGAGAGTAATCATCAGTGGCAATGATAGGTCAAAGGAACCTTCCTCATCCATACCCGTGACATAAGTGGCAAGAATGTAAATTGAAATAAATAACAGGGACGAGATTAAAGTTAAGTTTCTTTTCACGAAAAATGGAAACACTCAAATTGATATACATAATTACGATATTACATTACAACAAAACATCGTGTAGCATACACAAATTACACAAGAACTTTATATGAACTCGAGAGAGAGAAACAAAAACAAAGCTTTATACCTCTCGATTAATTTCTGATCCAAACCCGTTCGCACTTCTTGGAAACCCTTCCTCCCATGCTCTTCTGAAACAACAAATTATCATAATCATAATCTAAGAATAAACAATGATAATGAAAATTTTGAATACAATAATTACACTATAGTATAGTTAGGCAGTAAATTAAATCCAAATTTCATTACATATGCTTTTCTTTTGGGTAATGCTTGCATGTGAGACTATATGTTAAAAGCTGTTTATCATTAATTTCAAGGGGAAATGGCATAGAAAAAGACTGCACTTCTGGTATGCCACTTACCTTATCATCATTATCCAACCCTTTTATTTTCCCTTATTTTATTATATCAAAGCTTCCATAACTCTGGAAAGTCGAGTTATTTTAGTCACCTATGTTTAGGGTTTGGATTCTGAATTCAGTACTTGTGTGCCCGACATTTTCACAAACCAACCTGAGTTCTTTTAACACGCTTTGTGACTATCCCCACAACAAATAAACATGAATCATTCCAGCATGTTTTGTCTTTACTCACATGTATCTTAGGAAAATTTACCATAGAATTGCTCCAAGCAAAGTAGGCTTAACTATAAAGTTCCTATGATTATGTTACTGAAAAGGAAAGTGACCATGTTGGTATATGTAGTGACTTTCGATTATAGTAAGTCTTTTTTTTAACTATACTCGACTCAGGATCTCTCTCATTCAGACATGGTCTTAATTCATTCGTGTACTCTTCTTTTACTCGGATGTCACACTTTCAAAAGAAAAAAATATCTTTTAACCCTACTTTCTAAATTATATGAGGACGAGAAAGGCTTCTCCATCCTCGTACTACTCATAATGAATATAATCGTTATTGAACATGAGTATAACTCGATCAAACAAATGCATTCAATAGAGAAGACCAAGAAAAACATGTTATCAATCGAATTAATGAAGAGAGAGAGAGAGAGAGATGAAATTAACCTTGAAGAGTTACTGTGGTAATTAATGGAAGGTGAGGATCCATTAACATGAGGCTCCAAAGATGCAGTAAGCCCTCTTCTATGATTGAGCAAACAGGTTGCTTCATGATGTGGGGTTGGTGTTGCAGGCAAGAAATCTTCTTCTCCATACCCTTCAAATCAACACCCAAAAAAAAAAAATTTTATATAAAAAGTTCGAACATTTACGATAATCTCCTTGAAATATTACTTAACAGTGCATAAGGGTTGGTTCGAAAAATCTTTTAGACCAATCTGAAATTTCAGGTCGTTCGGGTCAGTGACTAGAGCAACGTAAATAGAAGAGTTTATAGCTCAACCCAACTCTCTATTTTTGAGTGGTTTATGGTTTTTTTAAAAAAAATTATTATAAAAAGAAATCTACTTATCCACCAAGAACTAAAATCTTATAAAAATCAAATATCAAGTAGTTATGAGTCACGATAAATAACTAATATCAAGGGTCGTAATCCTATTTCCAGACTAGTCGGGTCAAAATGTCATCCCACAATGAATATTCAGCTTTTTAGTAATTCAACCCAACCCAAACAAAAAAAAAAATCCGACCCCACCAAACCTTTATAATATGGGTCGAGTAATCGAGATTAGTCGAGCTATTGGGTCAATTCTTTTATAAAAATATGAATAGAAGCTAGACTCGAGATTCGAGATTATGTATAATATATGTATTGTTTTGGTTGACTTCGGAAGATAGGCAGAGCTAAAGAAAGCAATGATTGTGTTTTAAGCCAAACGCATGTCTCTCTCTCTTAGGTTATAGAAGGCTAGAAAATGTGATGATATTATAATGTATAATCATGTATGCATGTGAAGGAGAACAACAATTTCGTTTTTGTTCTTATTAAACTCGAAAGAAGAGTTGTTTGTTTTGGCTAAGGAATTGGAAACTCATTACCTGAAGAACCTGTTTGTTTGTCGGTGTTCTTAACAGTACGAAACATCTGGAAAGAGAGACAAGAACATCTTAAAAAGGTATGCATATGGTTAAGATGAAAACCAGACAGACATGAAATTTGGAACAAAAAAAGAAAAACATGCACAGCTTTTGTGTCTGAATAATGGATTCATAAGAACATTGCTCACTAAAAAAGATCAAAACTTTGAGTGACCCATTTGGAAATTGAACTAAAAATGTGATTATTTGGAGTTTTAAGATGTTCTATTATTAAGAAATGATGCCTATTTCTCTCTCTTCTTTACTGTTTTTTCTCTCTCTAATGGAGAAATTGTCCTGTTTTGGAATTGCTTACACACTTTCACTCTCTCTAGCTTCTCCATCGTTCATTCCTTCTCCTCGAAACTCTTATTTCAATCTTTATTCTCGTGAAATTCTCTTTTATTTTTACGGGATCGAAGTGAATTTACAAAAATTGAGTTCATCGAAAGAATTTCATCGAGATAAGTTCTTAAAAAATGTGAAAGATATTGATAGTAGCTCCTAAAAACTCAAGTTTCAATATTATAACATAGTATTCTATATATAATCAGTTAGTTTTGAGCTTTAGCTTTGATATATAAAAAAGTGAGTGGGGCAAAAAATTGGTCGGAATTGGAGCGGGATGGGAAATATAATTCCTCTTTAACCTTGTCGAGGGAAAAAAAAATCTTTTTTTATCACTCTCTTCTCGTTTTTCATTTAAACCGGTATTCTCCATCCCATTCAGGGCAGGTCTCGTGATCTCTAGGTGATATATATATATATATAAAAAGGAAGCTTTTTTTGCAAGGAAGAAAGATAAATAAGAAATGGGTTTGAATTGAAATCCAAAAATAAATTGTGGGTTTTGAATAAAATTACCTGTAAATGACTCTTGACATGAGCTAGTGTGAGATCTTTGGCATCCATTAATTCCAGGACTGATTTTGGAGTCGCCCCTGATCGTACAAAAAATTATGAACATTTGAAGAGGAGAGAGAGAATAAAAAAGAAGAGAGAGAAAGTACTTTCATGGCCACCAAGGAGTTCAACAGCTCGAATGAAACGAGCATGAAGAGATGAAGTCCAACGCATTCTTGGGGCTCTAGAACTTCGTCGGCTTTGAATTCTTGGCATAAACCATCTCGATCTATTATTACTACACCAAAAATTCGAAACCCCAAAAAGAGGGTTTTGATGATTTTGAACAATAAATTGATTCAAAGAAGGAGACGACGACAACGACGACAAAGACGACATCGTTTGGGTTTGATTCAAATACGTTGAAGAAGACGACAACAACCCATTGCTGTAAATTGGGATTCCTCTAATGGGTCGGAACCGATCGGCCAATTTGTCGACCGACGCCATCGAATTGTTCGATAGAGAGAGCTCGGTGTCGACCGGAGGTGTTTGAGTTTGTTGTTGAACATCGAATGAAGTGGATGGGTCAGTTTTGGGAGGGCTAATTTGAAGAGATAGATCAGGAACATTAATGTCTTTCCCCAACATTTCAATTTCTCCAAGATCTGATTTTTGTGTATCCCACAAGTGAAATTGAGTGAAGGGAGATTGAAAAGAAGAACAAGAAGAACATAAGAGCTAGAACTGAGCTGAGAGGCTGGCTTTAGAGAGAGAGATTAGGTTAGATGGAGAAAAAAGGAAGGAACTTTGTGTTCCACACAACAAACAAACATCTTTGAAGGGTTAGAGAGATAGAGAAAAGAAGAAAGTAAAAGAGGAAAGGAGAGAGAATTGCAAAATGGAGAGAGCTGCTGGTAATTAGGGTGTAGGTGCATTTTGATGACCGTCATAAGTTTACTTAGTTAAAGTAGACAATATTTACTGAGGTGGGCTAGGGCTGTTACAAATGGTATCAAGGATAGGCACTAGGATGTGTGTCAATGAAGACGTTGGGCCTCTAAGGGGGTAAATTGAGAGATCGCATATTGGTTGGAGAGTGAAGCGAAACATTCGTTATAAGGGTATAGAGACCTTTTTCTAACGGACACGTTTTAAAACCGTGAGACATTCTGGGAGATGCGTGAAAGTCTCCATCTTTCTACCTACTGTCTTCTCTTTGGTGGGAAAAAGGTTAATGACAAGTTTAGTTTCTAAACTTTTACGTTGGTGTATAATAAATTTTTTAATAATGTCGACTACGTTTATGTTCAATAAATAAATTTATGATACGTTCATGATTTTTAGAAACGAACCAATCTATACTTACAATTTTTGTGTTTAATGAGTTCGTGAATATTTAAAAAAAAAATTCTAAATTTGGTTATGTTTTTGTATTTAATGTCACTTCACCTTTCTTTTTCAACTATTGTGTCCCGTACAATCATTTTTTGTTTTCTTCGATTACAAATAAACATTATCTCCAATCATAAATTATACGTTAAATTTTACTCGTTGAATGAAGGATATATGAATGATTGACCGCTACTATCTATACCAATAATCAAGAACATGTTTGTTTGTGGGTGTAACAACCCGACGTCACCACTAGTAGATATTATCTGCTTTGACTCGTTACGTATCACTGGCAGCCTCATAATTTTGAAACGTGTTTACTAGAAAAAGATTTTCATATTTTTCTAAGAAATGTTTTGTTGTTCTTTCCATTTGAAGTGGGATCTCACAATTTACCCTCTAGAGACCAACGTCCTCGCTGGTACACGGCTCGATGTCAGGCTCTGAAACTAGAGTGAGGAAGGTCGGAGTCTAAAAAAGTGAGATATATGAACACTAAATCAAAAGGGAAGTTAGAATTAAACATATAATGGGAGAATATTTCAGATATTATTTTTAGAAAAAAATAAAATAAAAATTGGGTGGGTGAAATTGTCAAGAACAATGATTGATTAGTGGGCCCATTGACCTGAAATCTAGATAGACAGAGATAAAGAAGAGAAACTAAAAGGGAAAAAAAGAAACCCTAATTTTGAATATTATATATATATTTCATTTTAAAGGCAAAATTGTAATATATTTTCATATTTCTGCACAATTCTTAAAAAGAAATTATTTTTTTTTTTAATTTAAACATGTTAATATGATATTGTCCACTTTGAACATAAGGTCTCATGTTAATAATTCCGTATATATTCTAATAATAAAAGTATTAATAAAAAACTTTAAAGTTCAAGATTATTTTTGAAATACTTAAAAATAAAATATTAATCTCTCGGATTTTTAAAACTTTTTAAAAAAGGAAGGGTATATTAAAAATTTTCTTTATAATTTAACAATATTAATGAATTTTTAAAAAATTGAACAACATTTTTATTAATTTAACATAATAATAATAATAATAGAAATTTATTTATTTATTTTTGTGTAAATTTGGAAGGAAAAAATATGGGTTGGATCATAAATGATTTTGCAATCGATTGGTTTATGATTGAAAGAAAAAAGAAAAATGAGGAGAGAGAAAGAGACACAGAGGTAGAGAGAGAAAGCACTTTAAAATTTTCAGCAATTCCAACGTGCTTTTGGTTAAAATGGTGGGTTTTGTCTTTACCTTTTTTATTTATTTATTTTAAATAATAATAATTTCCTTTTTTATTTTGAAATAAAAATCAACCTAAATTATAAATATGGGTAGATTATTGCTTCTTTTTTTTTTTCTTCTTTCTTTTTCATGTTTATTTTATTTTTTTTTCATAAAAAATAATTTTATATCTTACATTTTTTTTTATAAATAAAATACTTTATGTATTTCTAAAAAAGCACTTTTTTTTTTTTTTGCTTTACAAAATGGGTTTTTCTTTTTAGGAAAAGTTTAGTTTTTATGGACAATTTTTTAATACCTCACTTAGTTAAGTTTTCTTTAGGAAACAAAAAAAAAAAAAAAAATATATATATATATATATATATATATATATATATATATATTCTTACTCTCAGAAACTAACACGTATCCTTTTAGTATGTTTTGTCTTCATTTATTTATTAGGGAGATATTTTCACACCCTTATAAAAAATGTTTCGTTTTCCTATTCAATTGATGTGGAATCTCATAATCCACCCCCTAGCATCTTCGCTGGCACATCACCCAGTGTCTAACTCTGATACCATTTGTAACAACTCAAGCTCATCGTTAGCAGATATTATCTGCTTTAGCTCGTTACGTATTCTCAGCTTCACGGTTTTAAAACACGTCTAATAGGGAGAGGTTTCCTCACTCTTATTAAAAAAAATGTTTTGTTCTCTTCCCCAACCAATGTGGGATCTCACGAGGAATTGACTATCGATTCTTTTAAACATTTTTAACTAAATCATATCTTCGAGATTGCTCCCATTTAAATTGGATCCCACAATATATTAAATATGGGGTATGGGGATAATTTGAATAAAAACAATTATATATCAGTTTAGATATATATATATATATATATATATACACACATATATATACACTTTATGTATTTGAAAACAAAACACGTTTTTGCTTTACAAAATGGGTTTGTCTTTTTAGGAAAAGTTTAATTTTTACCTTTAATTTGTCAATGGGTCAATTTTAAAATACCTCAATTAGTTAATTTTCCTTTTTAAAAAATGTGTATTTTTTTTTTTTTTTAATTTTTTCAATTATGTTGGGTCCTTTTTAATTTATTTTTCATTTCCTTTGTAATTTGTGCATTCATCAAGTACACAATTGGCACCTTTAATATTTGTTTGACTTTGTAGTTTAGTTAGATTAAAGTACTTTCATGATTAGGTTCAAATTTTCTATAATATAATTTTAAATATTTTTTTAGTCGTGTATATTTTTATTTAATTTCATACATTCACGGAGGTCAAATATTAGCGGTAAAAGGTTTCTTTTTCGAGTCATATCAAATCTTTATATAGCCCAAATTCATCGTTAATAAATATTGTCTCTTGACACAATCGCACTTTTAAAGGCAGCAGACTAGCGATTGTGCGGCACTCACTTTCCAACGACAAGTGAGTTAAGCCAATTTGTTTTTGCGTCGCCTACGGCCAAGCGACGTATGATCGAGCCTCTAACCTCAATTTTGAAAGAAGGTTTTAGAGAACGAGGGTAGAGAGAGATTTTAGAAAGAGACATTATAATAAGAATCTCACAATCCACTCCTCGTCCTTGCTTATACACTGCTCGGTGTCTGAACAAATACAATCGTCTTTACAAATAAAAAAAAGTGGAATTAAAATATGTGTGGTGAATTTTTATCCTTGAAAAATAATTATTTACTTATTTATTTTTTATTTAAAAACTTAAAAATTAATTTTCAAGGATAGTTTTACTTTTATGGAAAACTAATGGAGAGAGAGAAAGAAGGAAGCAGCTTTCACATCATGAAGAGAAAGGCTGTCACGTCTTTGGATCAGAGAGTCAGATTTTGTTAACATTTTTAAAAAAAGTTAATTTATTTAATAGTTCATAAAATTTTAATTTAATTTTGTAAAATTTTTACAACGTTAAAAAAAAATAATAACAATATTGGATACAATTAAAATTTTAAAAAATTTAAAGACTATCCAAGTATAAAAACATAAAAAATGACCACTGATATTTACTATATTACTTAATCATAGAAATTTCATAGTTAAATGTGTTTATCTTAAATCAATTTTATATTAGTTGACATTTTGAAAATTTTCTTAGAAAACATGTGAGTGAAGATAAATCATTTTAAAACAACTCATCTTCCTCTTAGAAGTAATTCAAGTCAAGTATGTAACGTTCTGTCATGTTAGGGCCACCCAGTGCCTAATTTGATTTCAATATCATAGTTCAAATCTGGAAGATGGAGCGTTACAAAATATATACAAAAATTAGATAAACCTACATAAGTGCATAATAGCAAATGAAAATGTAAAAATAAAGTTCATGTAGCATGGTGAAGAACATTTTGAGAACCCTATCCTCATTGCCTCCTCCTTCCATCTATACAATTCGGCATCAAAACTCAAATAACAAGAACATAAGCCCAAACATGTGGGTTAAATTGACAAACAAGCTTAGCCCAGAAGAAGAAGGAACAAATAATTACAGTAATAAATAAATAAATAAATAAATAAAATTCTGAAATATAGGACCCACATAATATAATAATACCGGAATATTCAAAATCTACTGCTCAAGATCAGTCAATAATTCACAGAAAATAACAAAAGGCAAGTTTTTATCACGAACAAGTTGGTATATAAAATTACAAAAATGATAATGAGTAGTAACGTAATTGAATTTATTTGCGGATAAGCCAACAACTTTGACCATCTGTATTCTCTTCTGATGACTGAACTTCAACCAACGCAGGTAAATCGATGTGAAATCAGCAGAAAAAGAACAGCAAATGGGTGAATTCTCTCCTTTACACTAAACAGGCCAATTTCCGTGTACAAGACTTTCGACCAACCCAGGGTCCCACAGCTAATTTTTACTATCCCCGGGAGCCCTAAATTTACCATGGAAGACAGGAATGCTACCAATGAAGTGGACAAAATTCACTAAACTACTGAGCTTGTCCACTAGAGACCCACAATGGCATGTATCAAAGCGTTCTATTCATAGAAAAAGGAAGAAATTTGAACTGAATTCTATTGAAGTACGTTGTGAAAGATCATGTAAAGCCTAAAATGAAACTCTCTTCCCCTGAATTTCTATGGTTTTTCAGTCAGAATTGAACATAAGTAGTAATATACAGCGTTATCCGCGCGGATTATTTGGTATTAGTACAACATACTTCAGGCAGGAGTACGACAT